CGGGGTTTCACCGTGTTAGCCAGGATGGTCTCGATCTTCTGACCTCGTGATCCGCCCATCTCGGCCTCCGAAAGTGCTGGGATTACAGGCTTGAGCCACCGCGCCCAGCCCACACCCATGACTCTTAAAGAATGCTTTCCAAAAGGCAGTGGAGTCAGGGGTTACTTTGTGATTGTCACAGACATACACCTCAGGGGAAAGGGAGATGCTGTGGCTTAGAATGGAGTTTCCACTGACAGCATCACACAGTTTCATAAAGTGCTTTATTGCAAAGAACTCTGAGTTGAATACGGTGCCTTCTGGAAAAGTGACAGATGATGCAGGCACTTCACAGGTGGTACTGAGTAATTCTTATGGTAGTGCATAAGAAAGTGTGTTACGGGCTGGGTGCCATGGCTCACGCCTGTAATCCCAACACTTTGGGAGGCCGAGGCAGGCGGATCACCTGAGGTCAAGGGTTTGAGACCAGCCTGGCCAACATGGTGAAACCTTGTCTGTACTAAAAATACAAAAAAATTAGCTAGGCGTGGTGGTGTGTGCCTGTAATCCCAGCTACTCAGAGAGGCTGAGGCAGGAGAATCACTTGAACCCAGGAGGCAGAGATTACAGTGAGCCGACATCGCACCACTGCACTCTAGTGTAGGCGACAGAGGGAAACTCCATCTCAAAAATAAAAAATAAAAATAAAAAAAGAAAGCACGTTACCTCAGGCAGTCCCACCTGCAGTGATGCTGAGAGTCATCAGTGGGTTCCGTCTGCCCGCCTCGTTGCCACATTATGAACTTAGCTCTCCCGCAGCTGTTCCACTTAAGGTTTCAGCATCCATTGATTCTTCTTCCCTAGATCAATTATTTCATTAGCGGTTTCCAAGTGGTGCTTTCCTAACTCTGTAATTGCTGATGCTCTTAGCTTAGTTCTAAATGCTATGTTGAGTTCTTCTAATAAAGAATTTTTCTTCCCGTTATTAGATTACCTTGAAAAATAGTTCTTAAAGAAAAGCTGGAGTAAATGCTTGATTTCATTCTCTTACTAATTTTTAAAGTTGGTGCCTTAGCAATCTCCAGTGGTAGCTGTTTTTAAAGTATCATTATGTTACCTATTGGGTACTATGTTCACTATTTGGGTGGTGGGTACAGTAGAAGCCGAAACCTCAGCATTATGCAATCTATCCATGTAACAGACCTGCACATGTATCCCCTTAAAACAATGTATCATTATGAACTCATGGATATTTAAAATACATTTGATTTGCCCCAGTCCATTACAATCATTATTCTTATTGATGCTTTCATTGGTACATCATAATCCAGTGGGAACCCCTTCAAATTGGCTTTTGTATCCTTTCTATATAAGTCCAGCAATCTTTTGGGGGTGCTCAAGTGATCCTCCTGCTTCAGCCTTCCAAGTAGCTGGGATTACGGGTACCCATCCCCATGCCCGGCTAATTTTTTTATTTTTTGTAGAGATGAGGTCTTGCTCCGTTGCCTAGGCTCATCTTGAACTCCTGGGCAACTCAAGCCATCCACCTGCTTTGGCCCCCCAAAGTGCTGGGATTACAGGCATGAGCCACGGCACCTGGCCTCAGTAATTGTGATTGTTTCTTTGATGATTTCCTATCCCAGATCTAGAACGGATCATTTCTCTGAGGAGCTCTGTTCCTCTTCAGGATGTGTGGTATATAGAAACACAATCTGGGCGCTTAAAGGTGCCCATTGCTATTGTCTTGTTTTTGCTTCTAGGACTTTCAGCAAGAAAAAGTGCATTTTATTTTACAGAGGAAAAAAATCACAAGTTTGTATTGGCAGTTCCAATTCAAACTAGATTAAGATGTAAGATTTCAGGGTTATAATAAAATTATAGGGCTTGTACTTAGCTTTCCAAATGTTTACATGTATTTATTTTCTTTTATATTAAAAGCCTTGGTTTTTAATAATATCCTAATAATATAATTTTTTATTCTATAATATACCTAAAATAACTTCAAAATACCAATACCATTATCACTACTAACAGGAAGACTACTAAATGCAGTATAAACTTTCTTTGTGCTTTCTCCCCCATAGAATGTATCCTGATATCCTCCTTCTCTCTCTTTTCCCCTCTGTCCCCATAATTTCTGCTGTGATAAGACCTTTATCTTGTGTTCTCTCTGCCCCGTCCACTCACATGTCAGCATCATTCCAGCTGTCTTACTTGGAAAAGATGTCCTCATTTTCCTCATTGTTATTTCCCATAGAAAGGAGTGGCTTAGTTGACTTACGATGTATTTCTTCCATTTTATTTTCTTCACTTTCTTTTAATAATCTCTAGCTTTATATTTTTATTGTTTTTACCATTGTTTTCTTGATTTTCATGATAAAAGTATGCTTGTATTTTTCCATAATAATGTCCTTCTCTCAATACCTTTCCTTCTTTTTTTTTTGATGTTATTAATATGGTTGTTCAATTTTCTCTAGCTTGAAGATGATATTATTGTCAAACAAAATTATTTTAATACCATAAAAAATTTTGCACTTCAACTTTCTTCTGAGGAATGGATGATTCTAGAGTTTTCCCAGCTGGGCTTCATTGGTAAGAAAAGTGTCACACTTACCTACTTTTCAGAAATGACTGCGACTCTCAGAATCTAAAACCAAATGCTTACTTGTCCTAATGTTGTCTTTTTTCCTATAGAAATGGGTTGTTTTTGAGAAAACTTAAGTTAGGTAAACCTCTTTGTATGACATGATGAAAGTCAACCCAAGATAATTTGGAGACTTCTCAGATGGTTGTGTTTCCTCTAGAGTTCTCCGCAATGCCAACCGTGGTCCTGGTGAACATGTTTGATTTTTTCTTCTCTGGCATTTCCAGCTCCTTTGTTAACATAAGATTGCGGTTCTTTTAAAAAGAGGACCACAAAGAGTTTTCTCATATGAATTCCTAGTATTTTCATGTAATGCATGAAGTCCTCATTCGGTGATTAATTTTTATTCATTTTTCTCTTAACTAGTTGGGGCACTCATTTCTAAATGAGTGCCCTGTTTTGGCTGCTGTTTCAAAATTAGCCAGCTATAAAGAATATGTTTGAAGTTGGCCAGGCGCAGTGGCTCATGCCTGTAATCCCAGCACTTTGGGAGGCCGAGGCGTGTGGATCAGCTGAGGTCAGTTCAAGACCAGCCTGGCCAACATGGTGAAATCCTGTCTCTACTAAAAATACAAAAATTAGCCTGGCATGGTGGCAGGTGCATGTAATCCTAGCTACCTGGGAGGCTGAGGCAAGAGAATTGCTTGAACGGGGGAGGTGGAGGTTGTAGTGAGCTGAGATCATGCCACTGCACTCCAGCCTTGGGGACAAGAGCGAGACTCTATCTTAAAAAAAAAAAATGCATATATATGTTTAAAGTTGAAGAATTAAAGGAAATTTACAGGGTTCAAATAATACTCAGAGGATAACATTTCATCTCCTATGGTACTTTTTAACACTTTAAGCATTAGAGGCTGGACCTTTGAGCTTCTTGATCATGTAACTCAAAACTTAAGACTCAAAAACCATCTTTACTTGAGAATGCTTCAGTGAAAACAAAATTAGGAGTCCTTGTTGTTTGGATTTATTGATTTAGATGAAAATTTTTTACCTAAACCTCTCAGTGTTTAATGGGAAGAATCTTAGTAACACAGGAAGGGAAATTTTCTGATTTGCCTTTTGAATGCTTTGGGCCGTTAGGTATACGATAGATTATTAAAATAACATCAGGAATTTACTACATCTCTTTACACCCAGGTGACAGCTCATGAAAAAGTTTAGCCGAAGCAACTTTGTTTAATTTTGATAATACAAGTGGAGAAATTGTTGATGATGATTTTGTAGTTGAATGCACAAGCTTCAGCGTAGGTCGTGGACGAGAGTTCACCAATGTCAGCCGGTTTGGTGCTTGGTTTCTGTACTGCAGCTACTGACTGGGAATATCTTTTCAGGTAAAATGTTTCAAGCGCCGGATCTTACTCTGATTGTAGAATTCATATTCATGTTTTACAAGGAGAAACCCATTGACTGGCTCTTGGACCACATTCTCTGGGTGAAAGTCTGCAACCCTGAAAAAGATGCAGTAAGTTAATTCCTCACCAGAGTGGAGGGAGTTTCTTTTCTGTATTTCGTGAAAGTGACTTTTAGAGATTTTGCAAATACATAGTTAAATAGGTAGGTGATATAAAACTTCTTTCCTGAGCTGATACAAAGTTTCTATAGTAGAAGAACTTTTAGATAGCAGTGGAAAATCCTGTAAAGCAGGAAGCTGTTGCAAGATGATGGACGTCCTTTAAATTGCTGATAAACGTTTCTAGTGTTTGTAAGCCCTGGCAGTTCGCTAACTATTGGCTATAGATGTTGGTCGTATCCGTTTTTGCATGCGATGCCATTGCAGTTTGTTTTCTTCATGTTTCCTGTTCACTTTCTTTTTCCATGTATACTGCGGACTTTATTAGACCCTAACACGTCTGTACATGAGGAATAAAATAGAAGTAATATTTTATACCAAAACAGTGACACGTTAAAGTACCTTTCAGTGTGTTACTCACAACAAGCCAGTGTTCATAATAATATGATTACCTTTGGGGTGATGGTTGCAGTCAAGTAAGTGAATAATAATTTTTGCTTTGATCATTCAGATTGCACGTTATTACCATAGAGATCTTATTGTCAAGAGTAATTAGGCCGGGCGCGGTGGCTCACGCATGTAATCCCAGTGCTTTGGGGGGCCGAGGCGAGTGAATCACGAGGTCAGGAAATCGAGACCATCCTGGCTAACACGGTGGAATCCCATCTGTACTAAAAATACAAAAAAAAAAAAAAAAATTTGCTGGGCGTGGTGGCGGGCACCTATAGTCCCAGCTACTCGGGGTGCTGAGGCAGGAGAATGGCGTGAACCTGGGAAGCAGAGCTTGCAGTGAACCGAGATCACGCCACTGGACTCTAGCCTGGGCAACAGAGCGAGACTCCATCTCAAA